ATATATATATACTTTTTTTTTTTAGACGTTTTTGCTATAGGGCATGTGCGCTAGCCAGAAAGACAGAGAAAGACAGAAAGACAGAAAGCGAGAAATCACCCCCCAGGGGGAATGGCCACGCCGCAATCCCTTCTCCTCCATTCTCCTCTCAGGACCTTGGGCACACATGCACATATGCCCGACTACATGGTAGTCCAGCGACATAGCCATTACACCAACTGCTGGCCCCTATTTATTTATTTTAATTTTACCAGAGAGGGACGGGGAGGGGGTGGCAGTGGGGGGAAGTAAGAAAGCAAGCCACTAGGTCCGGGACTCAAACCACAGTCGGCCATGTGGGAGTCCAGAGCCCTTAACCACCATGCCATCTGCCAGCCCCTAGGAGGTTCATTTTATAATACTCAAGTTTCCTTCCTGTTTGCTCTAATTACATGAGCTTCCTGTGTGTGTAGCAGAGTAGGTCAGCTTGACTTGGGCTGTCTTTTTATTGTACCACCCTCAGGACTTACACCTTTGAGATCCCACGTGTTTGTTCAACTGAAGGATGATGAAGAGCCCTGGATGCCTAACTGGATGGACATGACTCCAGTCAGCAGAGCAGAGGCCAAGAGGGATTCTGGTCTTGGTTAGTAGAGCTGAGGAATGCCTCAGCTTTAGGGTTGGGCTCATGCTTTGCTGAGTACCTGTGTACTCTGGTAATTTGGTGTTAAGCTCAGTGGCCACACCTTATTCCTTCCTTTCCTTTCCCTATGGGCACAAGGCATTCTTGCCATCTCTTCCATGATTCTCAGGCCCTGTTTGACCTCACCTCTCTGATCTGTTTCTCACCATTGTCCTTTCTGTAAAGCCATTCACTAGTGATCTCTCTGTATGTGACTTGAGATGTGCACACATCCTTAAATAATATTTGAATACCAACTACCATTTTGTAGTCAGATTTTGTTGGAACATAACACATGCTTCTTCACAGTGCTTAATCATAATCAATAGCCAAGGCTAAAACCTTTTGCAGAGAAGTGACATGGAGACCCTAGCTCTCCTCCTTGTGCAACACCCCATCCTGTTCCTCATCTTGGTTGAGTTTTTCCCTATTCTGTAGTCTGGTAGACCAGACTGCTCTGCTGGGCCAGCCCGTCCTGCCTCTGTCCTTGTAGTCTTATGGAGCCTTTTCTGTGTGGATGTTACATACACTGATGATAAAAGTACCTCTTCCTTTTTTTTTTTTTAAAGAGGTTTTTGCTATAGGGCACGTGCACTTGACAAAAAGACAGAGAGAGACAGAGAGATAGAAAGTGAGAAATCACTCCCTGGGGGGATGGCCATGCTGCAATCCCTTCTCCTCCATTCTTCTCTCAGGATCTTGGGCATGCACGCACACGCGCCCGGTGTGAGTTTAAGCCAGCAGGTCTGGGACTCAAACTGTGGTCGGCTACATGGGAGTTCAGCGACATAGCCATTATGCTAACTGCTGGTCCCCCTTCTTTTTTTTTTTTTAAACAGAGGATTATTTTAACTTTTTTCATTGTCATTATTTTATTTATTTATTTATTTTTTTGAAGGTGACCAGAGAAAGAGAAGAGGAAAGTGAGAAAGCAAACTGCCAGACCTGGGACTTGAACCATGGTCAGCCATGTGGGAGTCCAGCTACCTTAACCACTATACCACCTGCCAGCTCTGGTACCTCTTTCTTTTTCTTTTTTTTTTTTTTTGAGAGATTTTCACTGTAGGGCGCGTGCGCTCGCCAGACAGACAGAGAGAGACATAGAGACAGAAAGCGAGAAATCACCCCCCAGGGGGGATGGTCACGCCACAATCCCTTCTCCTCCATTCTCCTCTTGGGATCTTGGGCACGCACGCACATGCGCCCGGCGTGAGTTTTAAGCCACCGGGTCCGGGACACGAACCGCGGTCGACTACGTGGGAATCCAGCGACATAGCCATTACGCTAACTGCTGGTTCCCTGGTACCTCTTTCTTTTGATCCAACTCTCAATAACTTTCTTTTCCCCACCTCCAGGTTGTTTGTGTGGAGTGGAAGATAAGGAAGTCCCTCCCAAGCAAGTAAAGAATTGCAGGGTCTGCTTGTCAGAGAAGCCCTGTGTGTATGGAAAGTCTGAGAAGGATCATCAGGCCACCCATAGCAAGGGGAAGCCATACAGGAGCACCAAACATGGGGCAGGCTTCCAATCTGGATGCAGTCATGGGCAGTACCAGGGAGTCCATGCTGCACAGAAGCCCTTCAAGTGCAGTGACTGTGGGAAGGTCTTCATGAAGGCCTTTGCTCTCCTAAACCACCTAATAACTCACTCTGAGGAAAGACCCTCCAGGTGCCCAGTAAGCAGAAGTGCCTTCAAGGAGAAACCAACTCATATTAATCACCAAAAAATTCACACCAGAGAGACATCCCATGTATGTAATGAGTGTGGGAAAACCTTCAGCTACCCATCAAAACTCAGAAAGCACCAGAAAGTTCACACAGGCATAAAACCTTTCAAGTGTAGTGAATGTGGGAAAACCTTCAACCGCAAAGACTCACTTGTTCTGCACCAACGAATTCACACTGGAGAAAGGCCTTATGAGTGCAGCAAATGTGGAAAAGCCTTCAGTGTTCTGTCTACGCTTATTCGGCACCGGAAAGTTCACATTGGAGAAAGGCCCTATGAGTGCAGGGAATGTGGAAAGTTCTTTAAATACAACAATAGCTTTACTCTTCACAAGAGAGCTCACACTGGAGAAAGGCTTTTTGAGTGCAAACAATGTGGGAAAACCTATGTGACGCGCTCTGGCCTGTACCAACACTGGAAAGTTCACACTGGAGAACGGCCCTATGAGTGCAACCTGTGTGGGAAAACCTTCACTACCAGGTCCTACCGTAATCGACACCAGCAATTCCATACTGAGGAGAGGTCCCACGAATGTACAGAATGTGGGAAAACCTTCAAACATAGTTCTACTCTGCTTCAACACAAGAAACTACACATTGGAGAAAGGCCTTAGGGTAGGACAGGGCATTTGGAAAAGTCTTTAGCTGCTAGCTGCTTCTTCAGCAAGAAAGGTCTTGTTCCAGAAAGGACATTGAAGAGAATACCCTTTGTAAGGACGCTGTGTAAAAGAAGTAAACCTTGTATATCCCAGCACCCACCCTAGGGAAATAGGGTTATGTGACTGAGCCAGTGTTCCTGGTATCTCTGTTACTGTAGGGTTCATTATTGTCCAGTTTTTGTTGCCGTAGTGGCGGTGCTTTCCCACAGGGCTGTAGGGAGTGAAATGGTAGAATCCCTATATGGATCCAAATCTGATTTGTAGGATTTTTTTTTTTAATTTGTAAAGAATTATTTAACTTTATTTATTTATTTATTTTTAATTTGACCTGAGAGACAGGGAAAGTGAGAAAGCAAGCCACCAGGTCCAGGACTTGAACCACAATTGGCCATGTGGGAATCCAGCGCCCCTGTACCAACACTGGAAAGTTCACACTGGAGAACGGCCCTATGAGTGCAACCTGTGTGGGAAAACCTTCACTACCAGGTCCTACCGTAATCGACACCAGCAATTCCATACTGAGGAGAGGTCCCACGAATGTACAGAATGTGGGAAAACCTTCAAACATAGTTCTACTCTGCTTCAACACAAGAAACTACACATTGGAGAAAGGCCTTAGGGTAGGACAGGGCATTTGGAAAAGTCTTTAGCTGCTAGCTGCTTCTTCAGCAAGAAAGGTCTTGTTCCAGAAAGGACATTGAAGAGAATACCCTTTGTAAGGACGCTGTGTAAAAGAAGTAAACCTTGTATATCCCAGCACCCACCCTAGGGAAATAGGGTTATGTGACTGAGCCAGTGTTCCTGGTATCTCTGTTACTGTAGGGTTCATTATTGTCCAGTTTTTGTTGCCGTAGTGGCGGTGCTTTCCCACAGGGCTGTAGGGAGTGAAATGGTAGAATCCCTATATGGATCCAAATCTGATTTGTAGGATTTTTTTTTTTAATTTGTAAAGAATTATTTAACTTTATTTATTTATTTATTTTTAATTTGACCTGAGAGACAGGGAAAGTGAGAAAGCAAGCCACCAGGTCCAGGACTTGAACCACAATTGGCCATGTGGGAATCCAGCGCCCTTAACCACCACACCACCTGCTGGCCTCCTTGTGGGACCTTTTGATTATAAAAATTTGGGAAACAATTTCCCCAGCAAATAAATAAAATACCAGCTCAGCAAAACTTACATGTTGACTATAGCTCTGATCCTGCTGCAAAAATTGTGGCAAAGGAGAATGTTTCCTGAGAGTCATGTTTGAGGGGAGAGGAGGAGATCTCTGGCTGAGGGGCTCAGCCAGTACTACATGTTGAGGTTTGGGACCACTGCAGTTGTTGCCTCTGCCTGGAGCGATTATTTCTGCCTACCCCTATTGGTTGGGGAGATAATGACCATACCCAGGTAGAATCCAAGGAAGGTAGGCTTACAGTCTGGGTAGTTTGCAGCTAGTTTGCTTAGTTTCCACAAGACCTTAAAGTGTATGCCCACCCATAGGCCTGTTCAGGCCCTTCTTCCTTGATGTGATAATTGTGTTAAAGCTGGGAGTCTGTATTAGAGAAGAGTTAGTCTGAGCCATGTGTGGTTCAGATCGCCAAGAAAATGGACACAGGGTTGTTTTTGTTTTTGTTTTTTGGGGGGTTTTGTTTTTTTGGGGGAGATTTTGTTATAGGGCATATGCACTCACCGGAAAGTCAAGAGAGACAGAAAGTGAGAAATCACCCCTCCAGGGGAGATGGCCATGCTACAATCCCTTCTCCTCCATTCTTCTCTCAGTATCTTGGACATGCACACAAACACGCCTTAAACATGAGTTTAAGCCGCCAGGTCTGGGACTCAAACCGTAGTTGACTACATGGGAGTCCAGCAACATAACCATTATGCCACCTGCTGGCCCCAAAAATAGATGTAGGTTTAATAGTGGTCCATAGAGCTCAATCCTTTGTATCCTGCCTAGGTGACCATGGTTAGAGCTCATAAAATGGCCCCCAGGGCCAGCCCTGTAGTAGTTAAGGGAGCTAGATTCCACATGGCCAACTGCGGGCTGGCTCACATAGCCAACTATACGTTTTGAATCTCAGATCCAGTGGCTTGAAAAACACTCCAGGTGTGTGTGTGTGTGTGTGTGTGTGTGTGCGCGTGCAAATCCTGACAGGATGGTGAACTAGAGAAGGGATTGTGACATTACTATATCCCATTGGTTGGTGTTTTCTCCCTGTCCATTTCTCTGTCTCTGTAAGCACACATACCCTTAGCAATTAAAAAATATATTCAGAATATAAAGAACTAAAACTCAACAACAAAAATAAACCACCCAACACAGAAATTATAAAGCTCTTGAATAGACATTGCTCCAAAGAAGATATACAAATGGCCAATATATACCTTAGTAGATGGTTAACATCTAATCTTTAGGGAAGTACAAGTCAAAAACACGAGTTTCCATGGTGGAAATGGATGGCTGTTAAAAAACATAACTGCTGTCATGGATGTGGAAAAATAGGAATCTGTGCAGGGTTGGGAATATAAAATGGTCCAGCCGTTGTATGGGATTGTCAGAAAAATCATGATGTATTTTTCTGTTTTTGTATGCAAAAATGTGTCATGACTTTTCTGATAACCCAGTAGAAAACACTATGGCAGTTTCTTTTCTTTTTTTTTTTTTTAAATGACCTTAATCCTAATTTCCTCCCAAAGCTTTCTTTTTTTTTTTTGGAGAGATTTTTCACTGTAGGGCGCGTGCGCTCGCCAGACAGACAGAGAGAGACATAGAGACAGAAAGTGAGAAATCACCCCCCAGGGGGGATGGTCACGCCACAATCCCTTCTCCTCCATTCTCCTCTCGGGATCTTGGGCACGCACGCACACACGCCCGGCGTGAGTTTTAAGCCACCGGGTCCGGGACACGAACCACAGTCGACTACGTGGGAGTCCAGCGACATAGCCATTATGCTAACTGCTGGTTCCCTCTATGGCAGTTTCTTAAAAAAGAAACATTACTGTTTGATCCAGCAATTTTAATTCTGATTATAAACAAAAGAATCAAAAGCAGGTTCTTGAATAGATATCTGTACACCAGTGTTCATGACAGCATTATTCATAATAGCCAAAAGGTGGGAACAACCCAAAGGTCCATCAGTGGATGAGTGGAGGAACAAAAGGTGGCAGCACCAGTGGCCTCTGAGCTACCATGCAGTATTGATTGACACCATAGACCAAATCCCTTCATATCAGAATATTTCTAATCTATCTGGCCTCATAGAAGGGCACAGAGGAACATGTTAGCCAACCTTTAGGTTTTGGTGAACTAAATTTGTATTGAAATGTTTTTTGGCAATGGCTTCCAACATTTATAAAGTCAAAAGCCCCTTAGCAGGTGGCGTGGTGGTTAAGGCGTTGGACTTTCACGTGATCAAACGAGGTTTGAGTCCTGGACCTCACGGCATGCTTACTGATGGCCTCAGTGTTTCTCTCTCTCTCAGGCTTTCTCTCTCTCCTCTCTCTGTTTTTTTTCTGGTCAAATTATAAAACAATAGTAAGGGAAGCACTAGATGGCATAATAATTATGTCACTAGACTCCCATGTAGTTGGCTGTGGTTGGAGTCTTGGACCCTGCAGCTTAAAACTCACATCAGGCACGTGTGTGTGTGTGCCCAAAATCCCAGGAGGAGAAGGGATTGTGGCATATTCATCCCCCTGGAGTGTGATTTCTCATTTTTTGTCTCTCTGTTTCTCTTTGTCTCTCTGGCAAGTGCACATGCCCTATAGCAATAACTTTTCGTTTTTTTTTTTGAGAGGTTTTTGCTATAGGGCGCATGCGTTTGCCAGACATACAGAGACAGAGAGATAGAAAGTGAGAAATCACCCCCCCAGGGGGGATGGCCACGCCACAATCCTTTCTCCTCCATTCTTCTCTCGGGATCTTGGGCACGCACGCACACACGCCCGGCGTGAGTTTTAAGCCACCGGGTCCG